GAGTCCAGGCAAGGCCGGAGTGACTCTGCTGAGAGGGGTCCTCTTTAGCGTTTAGAGCCGCCTTGGCCCGAGGAATGCGACGATTTTGACCTTGCAATGCCAAATCGAAATGATGTCCTTTACTGTTAGGATTAATAGCCACTAAGGACCAATAATCCGACTCGTGTGCTTCCTGACCGACTTAGTCGGTTAGTTCACAAAATGGCGCTGTACCGAATGGTACCACAAAAAGGTCCTGTGAGGGCAACGGGGTTTATTTTAATTAATTATCGTACTAGTCTACGGTCATTCGATTAATGTTAGCTATCCGTAATTAATTAGCCAAGCCGTATTACCTGATTGAACTGATAGGTATTCCCGCGATTCACCACTCACTTTTATTACTTTGAGGACACTTGGTTTTAACGGTCCGAAGCACACGAACGCCAGATACTGATTAAGGAATGGCGGTTTTCCTTCGCGCTTTTCCCATCCCATTGCTCTCCTCGTTAGACGTTATTTTCCACCCATTTTGAATTCGTAGATTCGCCCGAATGTTATTGTACCCACTGGTAGAATACTCATACCCACTGTACTGTTGTACGGTTTTATATAATTTTCAAATTTAAAAACAATTAATCCTACTAACAAATTAACATTTTTTTTTACAACGACTACTAACCCTACTAATCCAACACCAAATAACTTTAAGAGACGTGACGGTACATTTAACAACTATGCACAATTTAAAAATCTAACATGTTTTGTAACAAACGGTTTCAAGTCTCTAACTTGATGACTTACACGAACACTCTTATAGGAAGCATCAAGAAGCGTCACGAAGTGGACTCCGTTTACATCGACTTCTCTAAGGCTTTTGACAAAGTCCCTCATGACCTAGCCATTATGAAGCTAATCCACCTTGGTCTTCCACCGTGGATCGTTTGTTGGTTGTAATCATACTTATCATCCAGGAAGGCTTTCGTTAAGGTACGTGATTCCAGATCCGAGGTATTCCATATACCATCGGGGGTTCCACAAGGGAGTCACGAGGACCTCTCATTTTTGTTCTGTTTATTAACGACGTGTGTGATATGCTAAGTTCCTGTAAGTTGCTATATGCGGATGTCCTTGGGTACAAAAGTGACCCCGTTGGCTTCGTACCACTCCAGGACAACATTTGAATAGAGGCACGAAGCTAGATCCAGCCAGAAGATTGTAGGGCCCTCGTGCAGCTTCAACAGTGGAAGCAGACGCTTCTTTTGACACTTCTTGAGGTAGATCTCCCCGTTTATAGTCCCGGTAATCACGAACGGCGTACTCCGTTTGCCACATGAGCAGATCCCTTTCCAAATCATGTATTTTTATGGCAAACTTTGAAAGTTTCTGCTTCCTTACTTCCTCCGGAACATCAAACTTGTGCTGGGCGGTGAAGAACAGTAACCCCGGAAGCTGCCGGAAGTCCGCCTTGACGTAAGTCTCATCATCCATGATGAGACAATGAGGCTTGTTACCGTTTGGGTAGTTTACCCTATATCACCAGCACTGAGCAATGAGAGTGAGTGTAGGTATCGGCAATCCATACTGCTATTAAGTATGAACGAGCAAGGCCGACTGTTGCTAGCGATATGCTATTGAGTTATCTATAATATTAATCTATTTATTTAACGGCTATGCCGAAAGTTATTGTTTCTTTACTTAATGTTCTATGTTATAAAACTTAATTAATTAAAAACAAATGAAAATATGTAAAGAAATAGCAGAACAGATAAAAAATACCACTCCAAAGAAACGGTCAAATTAAATTTATCAGAACACAATTTGTAAAACATAAGGTACACTTCCCATACAGACACTACAACCAGGATCGGTTAACAGAAGAGGGAAATAAATGAAAAGTATGACGGATGGAAACAGGGAGTATGGTCAAAAAGGAGGTTACTACTGGGTCAGATCGAATGGGCAAGTTCTTTTCCACTTCAGCTCTTCTCGAAGGAGGTTTGGATCATAGTTCACAGACTAGTATCGGTATATTTACAGACAAAGTCCAAGTGTTCAAACATTTCAAGTCGAAGTGACTTTCCAGTTAAATAAAGTGGAAATAAAAACCTCAGGAACGCGTTAATCAAAGAATCAGGTAACATACCTAACCCAACTGCCCAGTAGTTTCCATATAATAAGACCTCCCATTGTTTTAACCCAAGGACCCATTGTCCTTAGTTTGAGTCTCCGCTGTTCAGCGTTGAGCCACCGAACGCTTTCTAGACCGTCGGAGCGGTCAACCCTCCCAGCGAGCGTGAAGTTCCTCGCAATCACTGGCGATCAACCGAACGCTGTCTAGACCGTCGGAGCGGTCAACCAAGCGAGCGTCGGGAGACACGAGATCGCGTCATTCCTAAACTAGCAGATCATCCGCTGGGTCATCCGCCCAGCGATCCACGATCCAGCACGCCGGCCGGCCATTCACACACCCACACACGCACACACACCCTATTATACGTAAGTAACGTGATATCCTAAATAAAAAGTGCCTAAAAGAAGACCGAGTAGAAGGTTATTTGCGCCCTGATCAGCCTCACCATCTCACTCTTTGTCGAGATACGACCTGGGGAAGAGTCGTGAGCTAAGCCAACAAAAGAGGCTGGTGGAAAGCCCACCCCGTTGGTCCCCGTGGCTCTAGACCAGGGACCTGGGGGATTGCCATAATAGAGAGCCCTGCTCCCTCAGAAGTAACAGGCTTCGTCAGCATCTGGGTGTATAGTTTCCGGGCCCGTGACTTTCCCGCCATATTTTGCCATTAGTCACGATTTGGAGCCTTCTGCACTTTGTACGTATGCAGTCCCTCCCGGTCCTTGGATCTCTAAACGAATGACTTGGACAGATTCAACTTTTTGGCCACATCCCTGACCGAAGTATTGGGATTCCACTTAAACGCTTTCACAGCACGCTTGTGATCCTGATCACTAATAGAACATCCATTCTGACCGCATTTCTCCTTCCGTTCGATGCTCAGAGTTTTGTAGTGAGGTTTAATCACACGACTCGCCGTTGACTGTACGATTCCGAGTTGTTTTCCGATGTCCCGATGAGAGAGTTGAAGATTTTCCAGGTGCTTGCGCAAAGTCAATTCACGACGTTGCTTTTCGGGTGACGCCATTTTTTTCAACTTTCGAATAACTGACAGCGATAAACAATACACTCTAAAGTAAATCTACTCAAATTTTAAAGAGAAAATACCCAATGGGGAATTTTCAACAGCGTTTTTTTTTCGTGATGCAACTTGATGTGGGACACCCTTTATTTGCAGATGCAGATTTTATGGGTTTAAAAGCTTTCATCGAAGCTTATAAAATTCTGATTTTTTTCCATTTCATCCCTGTCATGGATACAAAATACTAAGTGAAATTAAAAGAAAAATAAACACTTACTTTGGTCTTTTGACTATTCTACTAACCACCCAATTTAAAACATTCAGTACGATGGCTACACGCAAACCATAAAATTATTACAACGAATGTTAGTTCCATTTCCTGATCATGAACATCACAGCGAATGTTTGAAGTTAGCCTTGCAGGCGATGTAATGGTTTTTTGTCTTTTTTATTTCGTGTTATGTCTATGCTTTAACCTATAAAAGCAAGCATTTGCCTTTATTTTTATGTTTAACATGGTTGAACGACGCACACACTTGCCTCGAATCTCTCCAGCAGAAAAAGCATACGAAGTCGATTATGAGAGGAAATGAGCGCTTAGTGTTTGCTTTACGGCTAACCATATTAAGAAGCATGGAGAGAGCAGTGGAGAAAGCACAGGTCTGATAATCGCAACGTTCGTGGTTCAAGTCCAGTCCGGAAACCTTTTTCCTATTTTTTCGACGTAATTAATTCCACTCACTAATACACTCCACATTTTTCGGTCTCCAATTTTCTTGCATTGGACCGCAGCTAGGTATATCGCATCCTCGGTTCATGCGGTCTCTACTAACATCCTCAGATGATGAATCTCACATAATTGTAAGCGAATCTTACATCCCCCGGTTGGGTGTACCAATCCTTTGAAATTTTTTCAATAAAATATGCAATTTTCCAATCAACTCATTGCTCCTCAGCAAGCAAATTTATTGGTAAAAAACCACGGGAATTTTTCTGTCTTCCAGTGATCATCTATAAGGCTGCTTTATTAATGACATGCAAGCCCAATAAAATAAACAAATTGAAAAAAAAATAAAAGAAGGGATGATGATTGGTTATTTCACCTATGAAAAAAAACACCCTTTATCAAGGAGACGCACGGTACGACACAACCTCAACTACGCGTATGATTGATATGAAAAAAAAAGTAGGTAGGGGAGAACAGTACATAACGCACCCCCGGGGTAAGACGCACTTTTTCATTTTATTTTGAGTTTTTCTTGGAATTTTTAATCCAATTGTAGGATTTATCGTGCAGGATTTTGAGTTCAGATGCTATGCTAGAAGTGCAGCTTGATAAGACAACAAAAAAGTTACGTAAAAGCCATGAAAAACACAAATGAAAGTCAGCTGGTGCGTTCTGCCCAGGGGGTGCGTTATATACCATTCTCCCCTAGTTAGCTTTCTGTTTGCCGTTAGCCCTAAATTTGGTTCAGAACCATCTCAGAAATACCATTAAATATATGGTTCATATTTGTTTGGTCAATATTTCAGGGATCTGTATGGTGTTCTGTTTTACAATACTAAAGTCGAAATTACCTATGACCTCATCACTCTTACCCACGTGTAGTCCATCTCTTATGTAACACTGAACTTTCCTCCCACTCCAAAATTGTGCTAAAACCAACAGTGTTTGAAAACCATAACATGCATTTCACGCCTTTCCCCGCAAGAATATACCTGTTGACTGGTTAGCTGAATCGAAGACGTATGTATGTGCCACGCTGCTGTGGTCCAAAAGTGCGCGCTTCTCGTTCCAATAGCAGCAAACTCTTTCCATCAAGCTGTATAAAAAGCACTGCCGGCTCTAACCACTTGGCCAGTGATAGCTGGAACGTTGAACAGAAAACAGGATAAAATTTCGATGAAACCGTGACGACGAGGAAGGCTGGATCATTTTTGGGAACAAGTGAAAAGTGTGTGTGTGTGTGCAGCAGAAAAATTGAGTGTTGATTTATAGTGCCAAAACTGTACGCACATTAATTAGATTTAGTTTCTATTTGGTTGCATCTGGCTTTTATTAGTTTTGTTAAAAGCTTTGCTGGACACAAAACAGATACTTCATCAGTTGATTCCTTTGTAAGTGAACAGAGATAGTTCAACTAAATCAAAACGAGTTTATATCTTCTTTTTTTGCACTGCTGTCTGGATTATGATACGAAAATCTAATTAAGAAGAATGATAACAGGGAAAATTAAAACCGTTGTAGTGTAAGTGCTCACGTGAAACGCAAAAATAAAAATACACAACGCCAGTGAAAGTTGCCTTCAAAAAAATATTTCTGCTTTCGCGAATATTCAAAAAAAATATTGTATACTGAATGAAAAAAATGGGAATGATCAGTGGTATAATGAGCTGTAGAGTGAAAATGATTGGTGCTGTGTTTCTGGTGATATGCTGCTGTTTCAGTTATGCAAAAGGTAAAATTATCGTGTCTTTATAGATATCTTTGAGGTTAAATATGATGGCAGATGAACTATAGGAACCACATAATAACTAGGCTGATGCAAATTTTAAAATGTCACTCAATAGTAACGAAATTACTTCAGATTAGGTCCTGGTTTAGGAGCATTTGTATTGGAACTGCTTGGTTTCTTCGAAGCAAAACTTTCGAAATTTACATCAATCTAATGGCCACCGTCCTTGAAATGTAACTAAATACTTTATATCAAATCTGTAGTCCTAAAAGTTGAGCTAAGCAATTAATTAAGTAATTAAAACATTTTATATGCGGCTTTAGACGATAAGTTCACCTCCCATAGCAATGTGCCTTATTGAATTCCCAAACATATCGCCATTAAGAATACTATTCACTATGTGGAATCTCCATAACAAACATATGTTATTGTTTTTTCTGCATTGTTTGACTTAATTTGTGTTAGTATGTGCCTATATTATACATTCAACTGCTTTTTAATATCCTGCAGAATACTATGATCACCAAATTGTCCCGGAGTTAAGGTCTTGACGATCTATAGACTCAAGGTGAGATGGGCCCGGCGTAGTGGTCAGCACCTCAGCATCCTTTCACGCTAATTGTCACGTGTTTTCCGGACAAGTCACAAATGAACTAAAATCTGGTAAAGTTAGTTTAATGTAAACAATAAACATTCCAAGGTTTTCCCTGCAGATCACCCTAGACATTCTTCCAAAGTACCATAAACCGGGGGCATATTGATCACGATTTTCAGTAATATGTGAATATTTTCTTTGCTTATAGTTTATTTTCAAAACATTTATTTTTTAAACTGGTGCCTAGGTAACAAAACCAAGTAGCTTGATTTGATAAATTATTTACGTTAGACTTAGTTTGAAAAATTATTGTTCGAACATTTGAGAATACTGCTTTGCGGTGAAATTATCAAGAGTTTTTTAATTGATTGTTATGACTTGTTCCAAAAGTTGGAGCTGTTATTTTATTATCACTTTGGTTTACAGTATAAACCAAATCTGCAGAATGTGAGGTGATGTGATTCCAGCTCATAAATAACATTCATATGTTTGAAAAATATGTTTATTACCAACTATTTACATGAGAACAAAAAATAAGCTAAGATTAATGTAGAATAATTAGTGATTATAACATAAACTTAATGCAAAATATTGGGAAAAACGTGCCTTTGAATCACGTTGCAATATTGAATATTCAATAAAAAACGTACTTATTTTCAGCAGTTTGTTCGATCAATTTAAACTCAGTGATCAATTTACCCCGGTTTGCAGTACTTGGAATTTATTATAAAGCTGTTGACAGAATTTGATTGAATTTCTTTCAAGTTCTCTTCAACGTTCCCTTGACATCCAAATTTTCTTTCACAGTTTTTTTTTTTGCAATATTCTCAATTTTTTAACTCTAACTGTTTCAAATTCAAAATAAATTACATTTTATTTTAGCCTAGGTGCTCCAGCCTACCAGCCTTAAATGTTATGATATACAGTATATAAAAAAGTTTATCCATCCAGCCAATATGCACATTCTCGTTAAACAATCTTTTTATAAAAATAAATTAAAATACTATTTGTTGTCATTTTATTCCTTTATTGGTCGCGAGTGAATGGAAAGATTACAAATTAACATGAAACCAAGATAATTCAGTTACTGATGTCGAATATTTGAAAAATCCATCAAAAATAAGGCAAAACAAATATATCCACTTTACTGCTGACGGTTAGGGTAACTGATGATGGTTGGACCTATTTAGACCGGTTTCACACGACGTCAAAATTCATTTCGTATTTTTTTTTTATTCAACACATAATTATGAAAAATGCGTGCTTAGGGAAAGATCTACCTTTCTTGTTTCTAATAATAACATAAGAAGCTAAATTTAATGAACAAATGATTTTAGACCTATTTTTGCAAATGCTAGTTCAGCCCACATTTGTTCAAAAACTTTGCTTAGAGCTTATTGTTATCATAAAAAAACCTTTTTATGCAGTTTTTGTGAATTTGTTATTTTAAAAAAATCAACAAATTTGTATTTCACTGCGTTTTTTTAAAAAAAAAAGGTCACTTTCCACGCATTAGCTATTCATCATGGCTCATTTTCTCGAAAATCACTGAACAGATTTGGAAAAATTTTAACGTTAAACTATAGGTATTGTGGTCCCATTGAAAGCTATTGAATATTTTTGGAATCGGTCAACTGGTTTCGGAGATATGGCCGGAACAAGTTTCAGGGTATATGGAACATGGACCTAAATTTGACTTGGAAGGAATAAAACCTATCATGCGACACTTCACATTACGTCCAAATTCGATATCAAGACCAATAACAATATTGATTGCCTTGGACCACATTGACCCCTTTCAGGCATGTTCTGGGGGCTCCTGGGGTTTAAAATGACAGAATATCAGAACTTACAGAAATATGAAGATCACACCACAGGTGAATTAATTCCGGTTTTATATTATTTTTTCCTAGGAATATTTTTTCGGAAATAAGTTTCAGTTAGCAATTTTTAGTTTGTTAAAAAAAAAATTATGGTATACATTAATTCACACACAGAAGGTGTATGAGAAAGGCTTAATGTAAATTCATATTAACACGGCGCTTTCGTGGTGGTACGGAAATCGGTGGTTACCCTTTCAGCCAACCTAACGATGGTATCCCTCCTTTAAATTTACACCCAACTAGTGACGCAAGGTCCTAAGCAGCTTAAAAAAACCAATTTTCAAGCTGGTTCTCCAAATCAACACTCAATTGTACCTTTTCTATGCTTGAACAGCCTCTTGAAGATTTTCGGCCGTATAACTGTTTTCTTTAGTCATTTTTTCAATCGAAGAAACTGAACACTCGGCCAACACGAAATCGAATTTAAAATTAGCTGCGCATGAAGGATGTTAACAAACCAAAGCGCTCCTAGCGGCCGTCTTAGAAAACACATAGGTAAAACCATCATCGTGCCACCATCATCATGCCAACCATGATCCAACCATAATCATATTTATCTATTCGAATTTCGTCAATTATTCAAACATTTTAGTGAAACCAATGGATAAATGGCGTACTAACGTGTTCTTTACATCTTAAAGAAGTATTATACTGCATGAAAATAAAAATAAATGGAAAAAATATTCCTGTATATTCCTGAATTGTTTTGAAAACACATTGAAACTCAACTATTTTTTTTTTTTCAATAAAACACTCATGCAAATTGAAGAAAAAGAGTTTTTGTGGTTATGAAGCAATATTTAACCTAGCGATTGAAAAAATAGGTCCAACCATCATCAGTTTTTGGATAGGTCCAACCAGAATCAATTACCCTACTCAAAATTTTGTATGCCCAACCTTGGCTGCAATAACAGCTTGGCATCGTCGCGGCATTGATTCAACAAGCTTGGCAGTCGTTTCTGCTGAGATTTTGTGCCATTCAGTTTCAATTACTTGTCGCAATTGCTGAAGACTTGTTGGTTGTCGTTTGTTCTATTGTATTAAGGTCGGGGGATTGTGCTGGCCACTCTATAACGTTAATTTTACGATCTTTGAACCATTGAGATTCCACTTTTGCGGTATGCTTCGGATCCCCATCTTGCTGGAACGTATACTTACGGCCCATCTTCAGTTTCTGCACACTTTTTTTCTGGAAGTTTCCGCTTCAATATTTTGGACAAACCTCTTTTGTCACTATCCCGTCAATGAATTCTAGCTCTCCAGGGCCATACCAAGCCATCGAGCCCCATATCATTACCCTACCTGCAAAGCCAATGAATAAACAGATTGAGTAAGTTGATAATTGATAATGCTTTATGAATTAACCTCCACTATGTTTGACTGTAGGCCTCAAGCACTCTTTTTTCAAGCTTTCACCGGTTTTCCGCCATTTTCTTGTGATACCATCAGATCCGAATAGCACTTCTTTAGTCTCATAGAAATACATAGAAAACTCACTTTAAATTTGCTTCACAATTTTGGGATCGGATAAACCACGATATTGCTTTACCTTGTTGACGATTGCCCTGTCAATCCGAGAAATGGTCTTCGATGGACGTCCTGAACGCTTTGATGGAACAATAGAACCACATGTTTTGTACTTCTGTACAATTTTAGCAACCGTATCATTGTGGAGCAGAACAATATCAGCGATTTGATTATAACTTTTGCCAGATTTGTGATGCTTTACAATCAATTCTTGAACACTCAACGATATTTGTGGACCTTTGGAACGATATATCCAAATTTATGACTCCAAAATCTTTCGAGCGGTAGAATAACAGTAATATGTGATGTTTACATCCGAAAAAGTGACAGGTTCTGGTTAATACACGCCAAAATATTATTAAGTGCATTTGGGTGGATACATTTTTTTGTCTTTTTTTACTGATCGTTTTCTAATTCTTGGTATAAACCTACAGAAAACAAAATCTCAAATACTTGTTATGCGGGAATGGTGCGTAATGAAAATCTAAGAAGACTATGTGGATTTCTTGCTTCAACTTTAGCATAATCAACGTGCACAGCCGTCACTCCGGAAGCACTGATGATGACAAGGACGCATTTTACGCGCAGCTCGACCGCCAGTACGATCGCTGCCCAAGCCACGACGTCAAGATCATCATAGGAGACCTAAACGCTCAGGTAGGCCAGGAGGAGGAATTCAGACCGACGATTGGAAAGTTCAGCGCCCACCAGCTGACGAACGGGAACGGCCTACGACTTATCGATTTCGCCGCCTCTAAGAGCATGACCATACGTAGCACCTTCTTCCAACACCACCTCCCCTATCGTTACACCTGGAGATCACCACAGCAGACGGAATCGCAAATCGACCACGTTCTGATTGATGGACGGCACTTCTTCGACATTATCGACGTCAGGACCTACCGTAGCGCTAACATCGATTCTGACCACTACCTGGTGATGGTCAAACTGCGCCCAAAACTTTCCATCATCAACAATGTACGGTACCGACGCCCGCC